AGAGGTGATAACCACTGCCTAGGGAAGATGGCCTCATCAATTCCACCACAGAGTCGAACGAGAGCCCTAGCCCAGAGGCCAGCCTGCTTTTACCTGTGTAGATGTTGAAGTCACAGGTATAGCCATTGCTGGAGTCTGCCAGCACAAACAGCTTTATCCCCCACTTGGTGGGTTTCGCCTTCATGTACTGGGTCATCCCAGTTCTTGCCTTGGTGGCCACCATCCTCTCATCAATGGATAGCTGCTTCTTGGGATGGTAGGCAGACTGACAGGCGGCCTTTATCTCAGTCATGAGTGGCTTCAAACGAAAGAGTGTGTCATACTCATCTGGCTGAGTCTGCTTCTTTCTGTCATTCACAACATCTTCCTCTGGGTCACTCATATGAATATTCCAGGATATGGTACAGAACCTATCCCTTGACATGACCATGTTTGGAAAATTCACAGAAAAAATGTTTTTTCTCTTCCAATAGTCATGTACCGTTGGCAGCTTCAGAACTCCCATGTACAAAACTAAGCCAATATATTTGAACATCTCTGCAGGGTTGATGGTGGTCCACTTGTACCTTTTCCCAGCAGCCATGTTTCTCTCTGCCAGCTTGTTTGTGTTGGCACACAATGTCCTGATGGAATCAGCACTAAAAAAGTGTTTGAAAAGGCCAAGGGGGCTTTGCTCTACAGAAGTGTCCAATTGCACTCCAGGATCCAGTCTGGGGCAAAACCTATGTGGAATGGGGGCTACATCAGGATCATTTTCAGTCTTCCATCCTTGTTCCAGCTGGTCTGGTGGTGCTGGACATCTGACAGGTGAAAGTGACTGCCTCCTTCCCCTATGACGCGACCTCAAGGCAGGGGTCACAGACGATCTTGGTGGCTCTGTGGCAGTGCTGGAGGAGCCGGGTCGAGGAGGACAAATGGATCTGCGGGCTGCAGGAGGAGACCTAGATCTGCGGGTTGCAGGAGGAGACCTAGATCGGCGGGCTGCAGGACGAGACCTAGATCGGCGGGCTGCAGGAGGAGCAGAAGCGGTGCTGGGTGGAAAAGGGCGAGCAGTCGGGGTCCTGGGTTCAGCAGATGTACTCAGCTGCTCTGTGGTTTCCTGATTTAGACTAAAACACACAGATTTTGTCATTAGTTTAGATTTCCACATATCAAAAGTTGTACAGCATTTCTTATAATGAAATAAAGATTAGCTATTCATCACCATGTGTGCATTTTTACATTCAAGTCATATGACTTCCAACTACAAAATTATTACCAGAGCCTTCATCATAGTATTATATGCACAGAGTAAATGCAATGTCTAAACTAACCAAACCCCCTCCCATGTAGACACATACTACAGGCCTTAGATAAGACTGCACCATTATTTCTAAAAAGCTACAAAAAAAAATCCCTAAAAAAAAACATTACAATAAAATGCACAGAGTAAATACATTCTAAACAAAAACCCCTCCCATGCAGACAAATAGTACTGTACAGTCCTTAGATAGGCCTTACTACACCATCTCTGAAAAACTGCAATCAAATTTCCCTAAAAAAACTTTACAATAAAATAGACAAGCAAAGTAAACGAAATAGCTTATAAATGAAGATGGACTACATGCGGCCAAAACGCGGACATTGTTTGATTGCGCACATTGTTTGATTGCGCACATTGTTTGATTACTGCTCCGTTATTTCTGAAAAGCTATAATAAAATAATTTTACTAAAAACACGATACAATATATATTAGAAAATATATTATCAGCAATATAGCATTCATGAGTTACTTACTCTTCAAATGGATCGATTCCGTCCCAGATTTGATCCTCTTCCTCCGAGTCAAACCGATCTGGATCAGATCCGTTTTCACTCTCATCGCTGTCGTCAAAAAGCATGAGAGCAACTTGCTCGGCAGTGAATCTTTGTTGTGCCATGTTTTCTGAGAAAATAATCTTGCAAAGTACAAGCGTATCTGGTATCTCCAAATGTGCGCGTCCAAAGACCGTGTACAAAAGGTTGCGTCAGCAAACAATCCGGGAATTACAGGTGGAACTGATTCTAAATCCCTCCCCTTTTTTACGTTCCTAGACCATCTGACAACGTAATTTTTTGCTTTTGGCCTGTCATTGGTTCACACACAGGTCTGCGATTGGTTCACACACACCAAAAGCATTTTATATCATTAGATAGAATAAAGTACAATTTCTTTGTTTTGCGGTAAAATGCTACAGATTTGCACTCAAATACAGAAGGCTTATCATTCGCGGAAGTCAACAAAGTCAGGGTCCTTTTACGCAGACGAATGTCAGCTTTTTAATTAAAAAAAAAGTAAGTTAATACCTTGATCCATTCCGAAGTTATTAATAGATTTGTAAGGGGAGTGCATCTTGACGCTCTAGAGCGTCAATCGGCTTTGAAGGGTTAACCATGAGATGACACACACACACACACCTCTCGAGGGTGATATAACACACACACACACACACACACTCTCACCTCGAGGGTGATATAACACACACACACACACCTCGAGGGTGATATAACACACACACACCTCGAGGGTGATATAACACACACACACACACACACCTCGAGGGTGATATAACACACACACACCTCGAGGGTGATATAACACACACACACACACACACCTCGAGGGTGAAGGACAGGTAGAACTGGTGGTAGTGTTTCGGGCTGCTCCTCAGGATATAAAGGCCTCTCTGATTCTCACAGCGACGCAAGCGACTGATGGCGAACTCCGTCCTGCGGGAACACACACCTCATTCATACATGTGTGCATTATATTATATGATATTTTATGGCTGTATGAAATAGGTTTCATTTTTCCCAAATTCAGTTTATCCCGTTTTAAAAAAAAATATTTTTTCTGGATATATGTTTTTTTCTAGGTGTGAGTGTGTGAGAGAGAGTGTGAGTGTGTGTGAGAGAGTGTGAGTGTGTGTGTGTGTGTGTGTGTGTGAGTGTGTGAAGCTGAACTCACGACACAGGCCCGTGGCAGCTGATCTGCATGGCCTCCAGGAGTCTAGGGGGCGCCACCTCTTTACACAGGTAGTGATGCGCGTCTGTGGTGAGTCTGTAGTAGCCGTCGATCAGAGACACGAAGGACAGCGCTTCAGTCAGAGAACCGAACTCCAGCTCCTGTGGGAAACACACACATACACATACACACACACACACGCTCAGACTAGAGGTCTTCTCGGATCCTAAAATATGTACCCGACCCGAATCTGACCCCGACTGACCCCGACTGACGGGTATGTCTCGGGTCTCAGGTATGTCTCGGGTCTCAGGTATGTCTCGGGTCTCATGTATGTTTCGGGTTTCATGTATGTTTTGGGTCTCATGTTTCAGGTCTCATGTATGTCTCGGGTCTCAGGTATGTCTCGGGTCTCAGGTATGTCTCGGGTCTCAGGTATGTCTCGGGTCTCGGGTCTCAGGTATGTCTCGGGTCTCAGGTATGTCTCGGGTCTCAGGTATGTCTCGGGTCTCAGGTATGTCTCGGGTCTCAGGTATGTCTCGGGTCTCAGGTATGTCTCAGGTCTCAGGTATGTCTCGGGTCTCAGGTATGTCTCGGGTCTCATGTCTCGGGTCTCAGGTATGTCTCAGGTCTTAGGTATGTTTCGGGTTTCATGTATGTTTCGGGTCTCATGTCTCGGGTCTCATGTTTCAGGTCTCATGTTTCGGGGTCTTATGTCTCGGGTCTCAGGTATGTCTCGGGTCTCATGTTTCGGGTCTCATGTTTCAGGTCTCATGTTTCGGGTCTCAGGTTTCGGGTCTCATGTTTCGGGTCTCATGTTTCGGGTCTCATGTTTCGGGTCTCGGGTCTCATGTTTCGGGTCTCAGGTTTCGGGTCTCAGGTTTCAGGGTCTCAGGTATGTCTCGGGTCTCATGTTTCGGGTCTCAGGTTTCGGGTCTCAGGTTTCAGGGTCTCAGGTATGTCTCGGGTCTCATGTTTCGGGTCTCATGTTTCGGGTCTCATGTTTCGGGTCTCATGTCTCTGGTCTCATGTTTCGGGTCTCGGGTATGTCTCGGGTCTCATGTTTCGGGTCTCATGTCTCGGGTCTCATGTTTCGGGTCTCATGTTTCGGGTCTCATGTCTCGGGTCTCATGTTTCGGGTCTCATGTTTCGGGTCTCATGTTTCGGGTCTCATGTCTCGGGTCTCATGTTTCGGGTCTCATGTTTCGGGTCTCATGTTTCGGGTCTCATGTTTCGGGTCTCATGTATGTTTCGGGTCTCATGTTTCAGGTCTCATGTATGTCTCGGGTCTCATGTCTCGGGTCTCAGGTATGTCTCGGGTCTCAGGTATGTCTCAGGTCTCAGGTATGTCTCGGGTCTCAGGTATGTCTCGGGTCTCGGGTCTCAGGTATGTCTCGGGTCTCAGGTATGTCTCGGGTCTCAGGTATGTCTCGGGTCTCAGGTATGTCTCGGGTCTCAGGTATGTCTCGGGTCTCAGGTATGTCTCAGGTCTCAGGTATGTCTCGGGTCTCAGGTATGTCTCGGGTCTCATGTCTCGGGTCTCAGGTATGTCTCAGGTCTTAGGTATGTTTCGGGTTTCATGTATGTTTCGGGTCTCATGTCTCGGGTCTCATGTTTCAGGTCTCATGTTTCGGGGTCTTATGTCTCGGGTCTCAGGTATGTCTCGGGTCTCATGTTTCGGGTCTCATGTTTCAGGTCTCATGTTTCGGGTCTCAGGTTTCGGGTCTCATGTTTCGGGTCTCATGTTTCGGGTCTCATGTTTCGGGTCTCGGGTCTCATGTTTCGGGTCTCAGGTTTCGGGTCTCAGGTTTCAGGGTCTCAGGTATGTCTCGGGTCTCATGTTTCGGGTCTCAGGTTTCGGGTCTCAGGTTTCAGGGTCTCAGGTATGTCTCGGGTCTCATGTTTCGGGTCTCATGTTTCGGGTCTCATGTTTCGGGTCTCATGTCTCTGGTCTCATGTTTCGGGTCTCGGGTATGTCTCGGGTCTCATGTTTCGGGTCTCATGTCTCGGGTCTCA